TAAAAAGAAATACACGTTTCTTCCCTGTGTTTCGCATCTAGAATTACATGTTTGGAATTTTATTTATGCTACTTACATTGAATTTCATGCCTATTTCGGTCAGGAATGTTAAAACCCGAACCCGATTCTCTGTTTTCCTTTTCCATAATTACAAACTGCCTTGCATCTCTCGCTCATGTTTCTCACATGCTCTTAAATAATTTATCGCCATCCATTTCAAACATAAAACAACTCAAATCGGATATTTTCAAACATCTCTTTAATACATGTTTAATGCGCATATGATGCAGGTACACATGGGACATTTCACAACGTTTTCACTTACGCTTCCGTCTTGATGCGCAGATCAAATGCATGTTATTCATATTATTAGGTATATCGTAATTTTAATCAGACCCTACCCCTTACATCGTAACTCGAAAACAATCTCATTCAAGCTCATATATACACCTAGAAGCGTTATACAATGTTTTGAACGTGCTCTCTTTGCGTGATCAATGAAATCATGGTTGTCCCCGAGTCGACTCGTATAATCCAGGAAGTCTGTTTAGAGTTTATTTATACCAACTGCGAGCCCGATCTAAAATCCTAGTAGAGAAATGAGAATTTTCCTGTTTTATTTATTTTCTTGCTTTTTCTACTTCTTTCAGCCCAAATGATATTGAAATGCTTAAAAAGGTAGAAAGGCCGTTAATTGTTCACTGAACAATTAGTCAACTAGTTTATTATATGTCTGTCTTTTTTAAAATAGAAAAAAAACATCCTGCATACAGATAAATAGAGGAGAACGGAAGACCTTCTTTGTTGCTGTAGCAACAAGAGTTTCTAGTTATTATTAGGGCTTTTCGACTTTTGTCGAAAAGACCTATTGTTTTCGTTTTGTTTATTATTATTATTATTATTATTATTATTATTATACTGAACACTTCTATCGTTCAGCATTTAGGGAGTACCTTTAAGAATAGGTATATTATTGTGTTACCACTATATAGAAAATTAAAATCTCTCGTGCGTGAAACAAGAACAACTTCCGGAATAGTCACTTCCGGTTTCTACTAAAGGAAAACTGAAAATTCTTAAGGAGCCGAAAACATTTTTAATTTTAGTGTCTAGACTCCCAAATTTGAGATATGAATTTTAGAGACATAATCCAATAAAAAAGTGCGCGTACGTAATTTTTGAACACAAATACTTTTCGAGATATAAGACTTCAAACATTGAAGAAGGGGGGATGAAATTTTTGAAAGTCACAATTGCGTCTCCAAAATTATTTTGAGCAAAGAAATATGTTAGAACTAATTAGTAGAATATATACTGAAAGTTTCATGTCAATCCGAAAAGAACTTCCGGTTTTATGACCCTTAAAAGTTTTCTTTTAAAATGAAATTAATCGTGGCGCATTTTCTACTAAAGTATTCAAGATTTTCCTGTTATATTTTGTATACAGAATGACTTTGATACACTTCTGACATCATTAAAGTATGAAATTGAAATTTTGGAAAATAAGGGATTTCTAGGGGCCAACTTTGAAAACAGACCATTCCCTGTAACTTTTTTATTTCTCAATGAATTTTCAAACAGTTTTCAGATTTGACTTAAGCATACAAAGGACAGTCTAAAAATTATGGTCCGTGGGGTCACTTTTTGACCCCTTATAGGAGTTTTAGAGTCCTGAAATATTGTATTTTTTAGTTTTTTCATAAAATGATAGTGTAAGAGTTATCTCCCTTTGTCAATCTGTTTATAGTGTAATATTCTTTTTATGTTTCAATTTTGGTATGTATATGAAGAGTACTTCCGGTTTTATAATATCCTTAAAATTCCCTATGGAGATTTCTATGTTAAATTTGAAATCACGTTTGTTTTTTTATTTCAAAAGTACAGCATGCAATTCTTGTGATATTTCACATGAATAATAATTTTTGTACTATCTTTAAGGGGTTTGGTCATGAAAACAAAGTTCCCCAAAATAAAAGGGATTTTAGGGGCCAGAATAGAAAAACAGTTTTTTGACTGTAACTTTTTTATTTCGCCCCATATCTTCAAATTTATTTCGGTTTTGAGTTAAGCATAAGAAGGACATTTAAAAAATTTTGGTCCGTGGGGTCACTTTTTGATCCCTTATAGGACTTTTAGAGATCTGAAATATTGTGTTTTTCAGTAGTATGAAAAATAATTGTGCAACAGTTATCTCCCGTTGTCAACCTTTCTGGAACCTAATATTTCCTCTATGTTTCAATTTTGGTATGTTTATGAAGAGTACTTCCGGTTTTATGAGTCCCTTAAAATTGTCTATGGAGATTTCTATGTTAAATATGAAATCATACAATGTCCCATATCTCAAAAAGGAAGTAAGCAATTCTCGTAATATTTCACATGAATAATGACTCAATCATTGTCTACAGTTTGTAAGTTCATGGAAATAAAATCCCTTAAATGGAAGGGACTTTATGGGTAAGTACAGAAAACAGCTTTTTCTCTTTAACTTTTTTTTTATTTCTCAACCAATTTTCAAACTAATTCTGGTTTTGCATTAAGCATAAGGAGTACAGTTAAAAAATTACAGGCCGTGGTGTCACTTTTGGACTCCTTATAGGAGTTTAATTGGATTGAAAATTAGTACATTTTCGTATGTATTAAATATTTATGAAAGAGTTATTTCTCTTTGAGTAGACACTGGTGGACAAAGAGAATTGTTATGTTTTCGTTTCAGAATTGATCTCAAAAGAACTTTGTGCGATATTGTATTATTTGATATTTATTTTTACAGTGTAATATAAGACTCTTCTTTTTAAGGGGTTGAAAAGCCCTCCGTTTTTGTTGAACGACAAAAATAAGGTCTAGTTATTATTATTTTTCTTCTTCCTGGGAAAATTTTGTCCACGAGTGATCTTGTAAACTACACATCCGACTTAGGTGAAACCTTTTTAGGGTTAGTAGGCATGTTATGTAGAGTTGCCAAAAAAAGGTCATTTTGCGCGCACGTGCTTGCAAGAGCGCGCACGTGCATTAGGTGAAATTACCAATATAATGGATATTGCCGTAACTTTTCTATTTTTTGATGAAATTTTTTGAAACTCATAATATAAGGATACATTAGTAGTATAGACAAGATAACATGGTCAAAATAGCAAGATTTCACGCGCATGCACGTGCGCTTTGCTCTGATTGGCTGAAACTAAAGTATCAATAACTTTCTTGTTTCTTGTCATAATCCTTTGAAATTTTGAACATAGTCCTACATTATAATGATCTACCGCATGATATATAAGAATTTTCATGAAAGCATGCGCATGTGCGTGTGCTGCAAGCTGATTGGCTGAAACTTTAAATGGCTATATCTCCTTTGTTTTTTGACGAAATTCTTTGAAATTTAAAATATAGTTATGCATTGGGATATCCTACAAAATGATATACAAAAAAAAAATCATGAAATCACGCGCATGCACGTGTGCTGCAATTTGATTGGCTGAAACTTTAAATTGCTATTTCTCCTTTGTTTTTTGACGAAATTCTTTGAAATTTAAAATATAGTCATGCATTAAGATATCCTACAAAATGATATTAAAAAAATCATGAAATTATGTGCATGCACGTGTGCTGCAATCTGATTGGCTGAAACTTTAAATGGCTATAACTCCCTTGTTTTTCAACCAAACAGGATGGGATTTAGAACATAGATAGATGTAAGGGACTCCTACAAGAAGGTATGATCATCATGCACGTGCACGCACGTGCGTGCATTTGAAACGAGTATATTTAAAAATACTCTTGAAAGACAAGATGATATGGTCATAACGCACATGCATTCACATGCGCTTGGGTGCAATGCTAAAAATTGAATATAATTGGTATCCTTCTGGAAAAACGTTGTTAAAGTCAAAAATGCACAGAGTTTGTCTTATTTAATGAAGCTTACAGGGAATATGGCACCGAAAGGGAGTTGGGGAGCGTTTGGGGAACATCTGTAACGGTTCCCGTTACAATTAGCACTAGTTTTCGTTGAACTAAATGTTGAGCTAAATATTTATATCGTTAAAGAGCTTCCGTACTCTTTCCTAGTTTGAAAGTAATTCGTCAACCGTAAAAGTCAGCGCTTCTCGTAAAAGTCCATTAGGCAATATCTTGACAAGAAAAGTTTTAATTTTTTTTAGACGAGAATCGGGTCGATATTTTCACCAGGAACAAGAAGGGAATATTTTGCAAAAGTGGGTCAAACTCCAAGGTCAATAAGTTATAGGCAAAGGTAAAGTTATTGCAGAAAAACAGACAGACAGATGAACGGACAGATGAAAACTACATACCTCCGAAGCCCCTGGGTCAGGGATATCATTGGGGTATCTAATGATTATATGCTGAAGTTGAATGAATGCCTTGAAATCATTTTTTATGTATAAGCATCTGATGCAGCCAGGTTCATTATTTATAGCAAGTTTATCTTAGTTACACGCATGAAGAAATCTCGTTTACTTACTGCATGATGGAAATAAGTTACCTGTATATGGGTCATGTTTCTTGCGCATTAAAAACACAGGTCTCGAACAAAATAACATATTCTTGAGATCAAAAAAGTATTAAAGAACTATATATTTTATTTATATTTTCATTTACATAAACTTTAGGATGAAAGCAGAAATGTTTTAAAATAGTATATATATAAAATATAAACCAAAAATTAAAATAATGTTTGACCTAGCTTTCTTAACAAAGTGTAAAAAAAAAAATAGAGTCAGTTAGTGGGAATATTCTTTTCAAAAATTTATAGTGATCTTGTAATACTTCTGAGTCAACATTTGTCTTTTCAACAGAATTCAGTGTACATGTATCAACAAATAAAATATATAGACCTACAGGTTTAACATTTTAATAAACCAAGACATAATGATTTGTGTGAAGAAAGTTATATAAAAACTAAGTAGAATTTAGGTACTTTCGTTTTCGCTGATCAGTTATGCATTGGTTTCTTCATAATGACATTTCGCTCAAATTTCAGTTTTGACATGGATCCCAGTACCAGTGCCCAAAATGTCACCCGTTGTGACCTTTGTGAGACAGCTGTAGTACAAATGTACTGTGATTTATGTGAAGTCAATCTGTGCATTCGTTGTGTAGGAAAACATATTTCTGATGACTATGACAAACATAAAGTGGTCCCATTTCAAATAAGAAAATCAACCTTGATTTATTCCAAGTGCACAGCACACGAAACAAAAAGATGTAAATTTCAGTGTAAAGAATGCAACAAATTCGTGTGTTCTTTGTGTACAATATCTGATAAACATAAAGGACATAACATTTCAAATCTTTTGGATACATTTCATTCAAAGAGAGAAGTCATAGAGAAAGATACCAAAGAGTTAATAAACGTAATATCTCCAACCTATGAAGAAATTGCCACTGATATAGAAACTCAGATTGCTAATCTGGATGGAGAATATGGAAAACTTTCAACAGCAGTAACAAAACATGGAGAAGAATGGCACCGGGAAATTGACAAAATCGTCATAAAATCGAAAACAGAAATAGAAGTTATAAAATCTCATCATATAAGTATTCTGAAGAAACATTTAGATGAAATTAAAGAAATACAGAGTCTAATTAAGCAAACATTGTTTCAACTAAATAGAATAGTTGAATCAAATGAAGTGTTTATGACTTTACAATACAGTTCTAAACTCAAAGAATTAAAAAGGCTTCCTTTTAAAGTTAAGGTATTTCTGCCTATCTTCAGTCCAAAGTTAAAAAATACAGAATATCTTCATACTTTGTTTGGATTTTTAACACCATTATCCAACAAAACAGAAGAAAATGGTTACAAACTGAAGAAACCAGAAACACCAACCAGGAAACTACTGGAAGAACCAGAAATTATCACTACTATAAATACTGGGTATGGTAACCTCTGCAGTGTTACCTGTCTCAGTGAAGAAGAAATCTGGACAAGTGGATATGAAGTCAGTGATATAAAATGCTTTAACATTCAAGGCTCACTTATCAAGTCAATCAAAACAAAATCAGGGGAATGGCCACGTGATGTAGCAGTGACAGGTGATGGGGATCTAGTTTACTCTGACTGGGAAACAATGACAGTGAATAAAGTGAAAAATGGACAGACAGAGGAGATGATCAGACTACTGAAATGGAGACCTTTCAAACTCTGTGTCATCACCTCTGGTGATCTCCTGGTTACCATGTACAGTGATGATAAAATACAATCCAAAGTTGTCCGTTACACTGGCTCCATAGAGAAACAAACAATCCAGTTTGATGAGGAGGGTAAACCTCTGTATTCAGGAAATTA